TCATAAAACTTCCAACTGTCAGATACTCCCCTGTAGGAGCAGTTTTACTGACCTGGTGAGGATGAACCCACCAAGCACTAGTGACAATCTTTGAATCCCATGCTGCACTGTGGCAAACCTAGAGTATAATATCAGTAAACTATTCAGTAATTACAATGGGATATGAAGCACTAACAATAACACAATAAACTTTATGAAAACAAAAGCATTACATGAAGGTCATAGACTTACTGTGAAGCATCCTGCTTGGTTTAATGTAAGTGGAGGCACTGGTTGGTCAGGCCTATGGTTCTTTATCACGGTGCTAGAAGCCCCATGCAACTCCGCATGGACATACCTGTTACATAAGGGAAAAAAAAATCAATCAACATGAGAAAGAAGATGCTAAGTTGGCTTCACGCTAGACGAGATAGGCAGATAAGTACTGGCACATTTGTAATAACTTTGAGGTAAAGTAAAATTTCATGTAACCAGATTTTTGGAAACATGAAATTGACCAACTTCATTTAGAAAAGAATTACAACGTATTATGTCCACATAACTAAGTTGACTTACAGATCTCCTTTTGACATATAGCGCTTGACTATCATCTCATTTTGTTGAGCATCACGTCCACTGATAATCAAGTAGTTCTCACTGCTGATGAACCAGTTAAATTTCTCAAACCAGTGAACCTTGCGCATATGTGAAATGCTAGCAACAGCTTTTTCCTGCAAGTTATTTGTAACAAAGGTGGAATTAAAAAGTCGAAGAGACCTTATCTTCTAAGATGATACTGGATAATGGTGACAAACATCCAGCTAGTTCTGCTTCGCCTCTTAAACATAATTATGTTTTTCCTTGTATACATATTTTTGTACGCCTAGGAATATATGCTTAGCATTTTGGTCGCAATGATGTTGACATATTGCTCATCACACAGTATGTACTTTCTGATTCCCTTTTACTCTGTCCTAATATTTATGGCATCGCTGCCTTGAAAACTCATTTGTTTTCTTTTGAATTAACTAAAAAGAAAAACATGGTTGTGCTTGACATACTAGGGCTCCTATTTGGCAGTTGGATGAATACCATCAGAAATACAAGAAGGCCATGCAGGACCTAAAAGGCTAAAACAACTTATTCATGTTCTATAGTTGGAAGCTAGCCATTTAAAACTATATCATAGGACTATGGAAGGTGAAGCTACCTGTGACAGCTGGAGACGAGTCTTTTTCTCGGCCGCCTTAAATGCCTTTTCATGTGCTGTTACAGTCTTCTCCTGTTTACTCTCCTGTTTTTTCTTCAGTTCATACCACCTCCGAGCATTGGCATGTGCTGAAAGTACTAAATCAACTTCCACCTATAAGAGGGAAGAAAGATAATGGAAGTAGAAGGTAAAATGAAGAGACTCATCGTTTTTTCCTAGAGAAGATGTAGAAAAGTAGAACCTTAGAACACACCTTATCTGCTGGGAGAGTCTTCTCATCATCATCCATTTCATCAAGATTGTTGCTCAGCAGCAATGTCATACAATTCTTTTCAAGCTGAAGCTTGTCAATGAGGCTAGCAACAGGGTTTCCATATTTCTTCTCCTCCTTCACCATTCGAGCAATATCCTCCCAACTTGTGCCCTTTGCTAAAGCTACACGAACAGCAACTATAGCAGCATCCACATCATCTAAGTTATATTCTATCAATTCCGCCATTTTAACACACTGATCAACTTCTTTCCTTAGCATGTGAACACGATTTTCCTATATCATAGGGTTGAAATGATTGAGATGAAAGATTCCAAGCATAAATAGCACACATGGTCCAACAACGTACAACGCATAATGTAAACCAAATATGTAACATATACAAACATTAATATTTCCAAACCCCTGACCCCTATACCCGTCCCCCTTACTTAAGTCATAACACAGAAAGACTGTACTCAAATATGACTTTGAATTGCAAATAGCATAGTAGAGGAAACAGGGCAAAACCTGGTCAACACGTATTTTATTAAGCTTCTGGGTGGCGGAGCTCTCTTTTGCCTTTTGCTGTTGTTCTGCCCTTTGACTCTCAATTTTGCTATAGAACTCATCCAAAGAAGCATCAAATGTTTCGAACTCTACATGCTCCCTCGATTTGAATTGGTTCAATAATATGGGGCAGAATTCATCATATATCTGCAAAATGGATGCAGAAGTCAGTGTTAAAGTTTAAAACACCATGTAATGGAAACCTAACTAGGCAGATCTCCACCAACCAAGGGAAGAAGAAGGGGAAATTACACTCTAGTCTAAAACATGTTAAGGTAGTGTGGTACCTGGACAGAACTTCCTGGTTCAGATGGGGGGCCACTTTTTCCTGAATTCTTCTGCATTAAAATGTATCCTTCAGGAATTTTATCACCTGAAATGACATCATGCAGCCAATCCTCAAACTTCGCAACAGCTTCAACCAATAGCTGAATTGCATTATCATCTAACTTGTTCTCTTTAGAAACTTTTGTGTTTGGAATGAGGCCAGCTTCCAATATAATATGCTCAGACAGAGCAGGCCCATATCCCAACGCATCCCCAAGAACATTCTTCAAGGTGGCCTGTTTGGCTTTAGCATCACCAGTACTCTTACTTGACTCGGCAGGCTTCCCACCTTTACTTTTACCCTTTTCTCTTTCGGTGCATCAGGCACAATATTTCCACCTTCAAGATCCTTAACAGGTTCATTGTTATCAGGTTCCTTAGACAACGTAAGAGCTTCCTGTAACTTTTCAGCAGTTGTTCGCTCAAAAACTCGACAAATTTCAACTGGATAACGATGACGTGACATGATTGCAACCCCTTTATCGTCATCCCTGTTAAATGAGAATTTACCACCTAATTAATATTTCAACTTTAAAAGAAAACAAAAGAATCAGAAATTTGTGGGGTATCTTACTGAACAGTAAGCACAATCAAAAGAAAACAAAGATGTTTCTAGTCAATTCGTAAAGTTACAAATGCTAACACAAATACTAGCACATCTATAATCAAGCAAGAACCGGAAAGCTTTTTAATCATAACATGCCAAGTCATTGCGCAAGAATGTGAGACCGTTTATAGTAAAATGGAATAGGAAATGAGTGTAGTCATTGACCTATGAGAGCGAAGAAGGGTCATGACCATAAAATCTGAATCTGCGAGAATAACATTTCCTTGGGCATAGAGCTCCAATATAACATAGTACGCATTCGCACCGAGCCCAAATTGAAAGAGAACAATCTGCAAAGAATGTCACAAATTAGTCAACCCAGAAAGTAAAAACAATAGGAAACTCCAAATGTGAAGAAAAGAATCCAATTGACAGAAAAGCTTGCACCCTATCATATCCAAGCTGGCGTACATCCTCGAGCCTTCGTGTTCGTATGTGCTTCCTCAATTTTAGGGTAAACCCAGATGGAGTATTACTCTTGTCACTGCACAAATTGAAGAAACAAAGACAGCAGGAATCAATAGGGATCCCGGAACTCCATTCCCTTTACCTATCATCTGCAATAACTCATTGGCATTACCGAACGTATTGAGTTGTATGCAATCTGACGCCACTCTCAATCAATAGAAAGACCTTCTCGCTCTCGCCGGACTCTGTCACTCCACTGCTGTTCATAAGCTTGAACATATACGTCTGCAGAAAACCCAATTTCACAACACATTTGAGAATCAAACGATGATACGACATGAATTTTGATTGATTTAAGGGAGAAGGAGAGAATGGAGGGGAGAGAGAAGAGACCTTGGGGGAGATATCGTACACGTTGGAGCAGCGCATGCCGATGAGCCGCCGCAAGCACTTGACCTCGGCGGCGACATCGGCGGTGTTCATCCGGACCTTCACCATCTTCGCCGATGAGCCTCCTCCTCTGTCTATCTCGGTGTGGTGTGGTGTTGAGTGGTCGGCGGTGGTGTTATTAGCCTTCTGTGCAAGGCGAGGGAGCCTTTCTTCTCCTTCTAATTTTGATGGGAAAATTAAAAGAAGAAGGGCTTTTAGGTAATTATAATAATATTTAGTGGGGATTAGTATTGTGTGGCACTTCTATTTTCCCGGTCACGCGCGTTATGCGTGCTTCTGCTTCCTTGGTGTGATCAGTGAATGATACAACTAGGGTTTTTAGGACACGATAAACACACCTTATTGTTTTTCTTATATACTCGTGTTTTAATTTTATCTGTTGTTTGTTTGACGGGTTTAGTTAGATGACGAAAAATAAAAGAGGTGTGAGAGATGCTAAAATTAATTTTTTTTTCGTGATTGGTTTAATTACTTGAAATCGGATGAGTCATGAACCGGTATAGAAAGGATGGAGACGTGAGGGATGCGATAAACAACATGAAGCAACCAGTCCGCCAATCGTATACTTAGGGGGTGTATTCAATTGGGATTTTGAGGGATTTTAATTCTTTTAATAAATCTAGGGGTATTCAATTATGATTTTAAGTGATTTTCTGAAATTCAATGTGTATTCAATTAGAATTTTAAGATAATTTATTAAAATCCTTAGCAATCCAGGTGTATTCAATTAGGATTTTAAAGAAGTTTATAATATTCCAGGTGTATTCAATTAGAAATTGATTTTAAAGAATTTGAGAAAGTTGAGGAATTAGAGTGAATTTGAAAGATTTCGTCGTGTATTTTAAACATCCATAAATCTCACATCTCCCCATGAGATTTCGAGGGAATCGAATCAAAATTTTATATGGAATCTCTACAAATCAATTAAACGCTATAAAAATCTATGGATTTATAAATCAATTAAAGTCTCTCAAATTCTCAATTGAATACGCCCCTTAATATTTCTGGTTTATCATATACCCAAAATCAATGTAGGATTCACCTATTTTTTATCATTTGTAAATGTTAGTTGACGCATGATATGACATGAATGAGAATGATACTTATTCTCTCTCAAGTCGTAATTGAGTTTTAGTTTCTGTAAAGGCAGGTACTAATTTACACTCTTAGTGCCCATTTAAATGATATCACAAACGTAATAAAATCAGAATTTCACTTTTGTATTATGTATTCATAGAAACCATATTCTCATCCGAATTACACGGCAATTTGCAAAGCGGAGCAAGAGCCCGTTTTGAAGTTTCGGCGTGTAAATATAGAAAGAAAAAGCATCAAGAGAGGGAAGGTGAAAACTTCACCAACGTTCCGCAGCTTTAACCACAACTCACAGTGGTGCTACTGAAAGAACTTCCGAAATTTTTACATTCCTCGTCTTACAAAACACGATTCCACGGCAGGGTGCAGCAACAGCTCTTATTATTTATGCAGACCAATGATCATATTCAACAGGAGGAATTAAAAGCACTTTCTATTTATATAATCGCCTATCGACGTCGAGGAAAGCCATTCACGACTGGCAAAGAATGTATAATCTGAAACTTAACAGAGCTGTTGTAATAACTTTGGCAGATCACCCCCCCCCCCCTCCACATATTTACATGTCAACTCGGGAGCTTGCCGGAAAAACAAATATCAACAAGCCATCAAGTTTGAGCTTCGCTCAATCGGCTTTTTGAAGTCCTTCCGATTATTACACAACTCGGATTCCAAGCAGGGACATCAAACTAACACGGTATGATGTGAACTGTCTCTGCCCCTGGAGGATGGTTTGCAACAACGGATCAGAGGATTCGGTGCAACTAGAATGCACAGTTCGATCAGCTCAAATCAAAGCCGCCATCTGCGCTTATAGCATACATCAATTTTGATTCCAGTTGCTCCTTACATAACCAGGAAGCACTTTTAGAAGAAGAATACAACCAACAAACAGATTATTTAATTATAAAACAAAAATAAAATAAAGAGAGAAACAGAAAACCTTCTATATGGTGGAAGCTTTAGGAGATTCATACAAGTGGCTGCCGTTGGTAATCGGTCAAGAGCGCCTTCAGCTCCATTGCCAGCCCTATGGAAAGAGCAGAGAATTTTAGTAAAACAAACCTTATAAGCCATTTCACCAACATGAAAAAAATTTCTAAAACGATACAGATCTTTCATGAACTCTTACCTCTGTATGCAAAATAATGGTTCCAAGTATTTGAATCCAAGCAGAGGTCCTCGAGAGCACCCGGTCACAAATCTGGATGAAAAATAGTGCGGTCAGAATCTCTCCCGATGTTCATTAACTTGAAATCCAATTAAATACAGGAACTTGCAATAGCCAACATAAACATATGTTCGAGGGATTATGTGATGGATACTAAAAACTCACTTTAGAAATTTCTTCTGATTTTCCAATGAAAAACTTTTCAGAACATCCCAGAACATGTCAATGACATAATGCTCCTGTCAAAAACAAATAACAAGCAGTAAATCAGTTGCGTGAAAATGTAATGAAAAAGGTTGACAGCCAATGACTGGGTTCATCTAGAGCTACATTTATCCATGCAAACAGTAATTTTATATGTCCCACAAGAACACAAATAAGCCAAACAAATGTGAAGGAACTTACACTATGATAGCCACCCACATAGTTTGTGTGCATCCGTAGGTCATCGACATCCAAGCTGTCAAGTGAACCTGATATCAGAAGCTGTAAAAACAAAGCGGGTCAAAGGAAGAGGACAGTTATGCATAATTGCCTGTGACAGTGGACAATGCGTGCTAAGTGTATATTACAGATGCAGCCACTTCTCAAACAATGGAATGATAAACTTTCGCTTCCTAATAAAAAATTTCTTCAGGCTTTGACTAGGAGAAAAGGTCCAAAATCAGAATGGAACAACGTGGATCTTACTCTAGGTTAACTCTAAAGTTGCACCAAGCATACCACATACAACATCCTGCATTGCCATGGCGGTACTCTTGTACAGCAAAATGTGTACCAAAATATTCTCCTTTTAAAAAAAAGAACCATTTTAAGTTTCCAATACCGGAAAGCATAACAAAAAATAGCACACATGGTATGCCTTTGCAAAAACCTCACAGTAAGCATTTGTAGCATCACTGGCAACTCTTAAATGCAATAATGACATCAGAACTATATTTTCAAATTGGACAGAATGACTTAAGCTTGTTTTAGTTTATTGATCTTAGAGAACCGGCAAAGAAGAAGTGAGCATACTCAGGTGATTTTATGCAAACAAACCCTAAGCAACAAAGCCAAAGGGTATACGAATATACCTGAAGTTCATGCTCATTAAACATCTATCCAATCTTTCGGTATAAGCTGCTGAAACCCCCTTAAGAAATGTGAACTTTGTTGACGTATCTGAAAATGATCATTTGTCATGTTCACATAAGGAAGCTACGTCATCATTTGGAACAAGGGTTCAAAATGGAAAGTTGCACTACCTGAAAGTTCAAACGATGGTTGGCAACAAGATGAATAAAGGTAATGACATTCTCATTAGTGACACGTAGGTTTTTTCCCCCGGGAAGCAGCTCCTCTTCTGTTTGCTCTCCATATTCATTATTTACAATGACAAAGTACAATTCTAATTCTGATATATCACCTTTATAACGCTGCAGATATAAATCACAAACAGGAAGGAGTGAGCTCTACATGCAACTAAACAGGAGTCACACTTTTATCTGAAGTGCAGATGAGACAGAGTTATTGAGTCAACTGCTTTCCATCAAGCATGATTATAGTATCCAATCCAATAATAGGTAGACCAAGAATAAATTTTCGTCGAAGCCGATGACTGGAGGGTGAAATTCAGTTGTGAAAAACAAAAATTTATAAACAGATACTGTGAAAATTGACATAACTGAATGCAAATTTGCAACTCATAGCATTGGATTCCTAAAAGAAATATCCATTCCATAGGACAAATCTATTTATAAATTCAACAGTACATTGTACAAATATAAAGATTAGAAAGTATTTTTGTTTATAAATTGAATATTAGAGAACTTTATCAATACCGAGGTTCCAATAAAGCTTGGTGCATTTATGAAATTCCATTTCATCGACTACGTTAAAATCCATATCATCAATCAATGGAATGCTTGCTCATACAGCGAAAGAAGTTAGATGTGAATGTAATTAATTTCTTTAAACCGAGTATTCGCAACAAGATCAAGCCCCGACGGCTCTTGAAGAAAGTGTTCTTCGTTCTTCATTCATCGTTCTTCCAAGATCAAGCCCCGACAGCCCTTGGATCAACAACATCAACAAATCCACACATCCAACCGTTCTTCAAGATCAAGCCCAAAAGCCCTTGAAGATCCGTTCATCACCATTATTCAAGATCAAGCCTCAACGGCCCTTGAAGAAACACTCATCCTCAAGATCAAGCCCCAACGGCTCCTTGAAGATCCGCTCAAATCCACCTTCAAAGATCAAGCCCACGGCCCCTTGAAGAAACTTCCAACCGTTCATCCAAGATCAAGCCTCGACGGCCCTTAGATCAACGAAACATCCACAAATCAATACCTTACGGAGATCGAATCAGAGGATCAAATTTGAGAGAGATTGTAACCCAAAATCATCAAATACAAATATTTGTTTGTGCACGTTGTTCTTGTCTCTTTCGTTTCAGGAAATTTTCCGTGTTCACAATAAGAAATTCACACAAAAAAAACCCCACCCCCATAACTAACTTTATTTATTTTTAAATATATTATTATTTTGTTTTTCTGTTTTTGTTTTTTTAAACAAAAAATTAAAAGAGCCAATTGCCAGAGGCTAGTATTAAAATGTAAGTAGTTTTTCAATTGCACTATATTACGATTTGGACCTATTTTTTATGGACATGATCTTGTCCATGGAGTGAGGGCATTTTTGAATTTTTAAATGTTTCACCTATTTGGACTTCTCCCTTTATAAGTACTATTTGGGCTTCTCACTTTATAAGTAGATAAGATAAGTAGGAGAAGAATAAGTAGAACTTGCAAATTCATCTTCAACCTACAGGGTTTAATTCGTTCTTATGTGCAAAGTTGTTTTGAAAGTGATATAGCAAGCTCTGATGCATAGCCTTTGCAAGGTTGTTTTCAAAGGTTGTTTTATAATAATTGTGAGGTACTAATTATTATAAAAAATTAAAAATAAAAAACTGTACAAAAGAAATTAATTATTAAAAAACACATTTAAAATAACGAAAAACCCCTTGTCACATCCTGGCCCGGGCCCCCACCACATCTCAGGCCCGACTCCGCCGTAACACAATATTATCAGCTTTGGGCCCCGATCACGCCCTCATAGTTTTGTTTCTGGGAACTCATACGAGAACTTCCCAGTGGGTCACCCATCTTGGGATTGCTCTCGCTGCGATCTTGCTTAACTTCGAAGTTCCTAAGGAATCCAAAGCCAGTGAGCTCCCAAAAGGTCTTATGCTAGGAAGAGGTGGGCATGTACATATAAGGTTTAGAGGATCTACTCCCCTGGGAGATGTGTGATGTTACAATCCACCCCTTTAGGGGCCTGACGTACTCGTCGGCACATTTCCGGCCAAGGATTAGCTCTGATACCAAATTGTCACATCCCGACCCGGGGCCCACCACATCCCGGGCTAGACTCCGCCATAGCTCGATATTGTCCGTTTTAGGTCCCGACCACGCCCTCACGATTTTGTTTCTGAGAATTCATACGAGAACTTCCCAATGGGTCACCCATCTTGGGATTGCTCTCGCTGCGATCTCGCTTAACTTCGGAGTTCCTAAGGAATCCAAAGCCAGTGAGCTTCCAAAATGCCTCGTGCTAATAAGAGATGGGCATGTACATATAAGGCTTAGAGGATCCACTCCCCTAGACGATGTGGGATGTTACACCCCTGCCACATTTGATGCATTATTTTGAGTTGCTTTTGAAGTTTTTTGTTTGATGGGCATTTTTATCCTTTAATTTTTTGTGAAGCTTGTGACACCAAAAACACTATTCATTTTGCCCTTGGTTTTATATATATAATACATTTATAGAAACGGAAGATATACAATTCATGGAAGTACTAACCTCTCTCCAACTATGGGGAATTTATTTGGTCGCTCCAGAAAAAAAAGAAAGAAAGGCACAATCAACAAAAGAGAGGGAGGCACAATCAACAAGGGAGAGAGAGGGGGTGCTCGAGAAGTTCAGCAAGCTCTGAATCTTTTTCAGATCTTGCCGACATATGCGAGTTCCAGGATCTGAGACTTTACACGCAAAGGGCTCATTGCAATTCTTTCGAATGCAGCGTGGACAACGGTGTCGTCTTCAATTTTAGCAAACGATTGGGTAAGACGAGGGATACAAAAATATACAAAATTCAAACCATGGGGAATTGTTTCGCTTTTTGCAAGAATGAGAATGATATAACATGAATCAGAATGCTTGATATAACATTGCAAGAAAGCGAAACAATTGCCCATAGTTCGAATTTCTTATATTCATGTATCCCTCGTATTACCTAATTGTTTGCTAAAATTGAAGACGACACCGTTACCGTTGTCCACGCTGCATTCGACAGAACTGCGATGAGCCGCTCGTGTGTAGAGTCTTGGATCTTGGAATCTGAAAATGATTCAGAGCTTGCTGGACTTCTCGACCACCTCTCTCTCCCTCATTGATTGTGCCTCTCTCTTGCCTCGCCCTCGCCAGACTCTGTGATTCCACTGCTGTTCATAAGCTTGAACATATACGGCTTGAACATATACGTATGCAGAAAACCCAATTTCACAAGACATTTGAGAATCACACGACGATACAACTATGAATGACATTTGAGAATCACACGATGATACGACTATGAATTTTGATTGATTTAACGGAGAAGGAGGAGAGAATGCAGGAGAGAGAATAGACCTTTGGGGAGAGATCGTAGACGTTGGAGCAGCGCATGCCGATGAGCCGCCGCAAGCACTTGATCTCGGCGGCGACACCGACGGTGTTCATCCGGACCTTCACCATCTTCGCCGATGAAGCTCCTCCTCCCTAAGTGTGAATCGTGTGATCAGTGACAATGATACAACTAGGGATTGTGATTTTGCTTAATAGGTGTGAATCGTGAGATCAGTAATAATGATACAACTAGGGTTTTTAGGAAACGACAAGCACCCCTTATTTTTCTCCTCTTATATACCTATGTTTTAATTTTATCGATTGATTTTGTTCGACGTGTTTAATTCAATAGCCAAAGATAAAAGAGGTGTGTAGCTTAAATTAGTCTATTTTTTAATGATAGGTTTAATTACTTAAAATCGGAGAAGTTGTGAATCAGTATAAAAGGATAGGGATGTGAAAAATGCGATGAACAACCTTAAGCAACTAGTCCGCTAATTGCATACTTAATGATTTAGGTTTATCATACCCAAAATCAATGTAGGAGTCACTTATTTGTTCATTTTTTAAATGTTAATTAACGCATGATATGACATGAATCAGAATGATACTTATTCTTTTGTAAGTCTTAGCTGAGTTTTGGTTTTTGTAAAGGCATGTACTTATGTAGACTCTTGTGCCATTTAAGTTATCTTCCCAATTAAATAATATCACAAACTCAGTAAAATCCGAATTTCACTTTGTATTATGGATCCATGGAAACCACATTCTCACCTGATTTACACGCCAATTTGCAAAGCGGACAAGAGCCCGTTTGGAAGTATCGGCACGTAAATAGAGAAAAAAAAATAACGTCAAGAGATTGAAGGTGAACTTAACTACGGCACACCTCTAAGAGCAGTTCCGACATTCCGCAGCTTTGCCCATAACTCACAGTGGTGCTACTGAAATAACTTCCGAAAATTTTACATTCCTCGTCTTACAAAACACGATTTCATGGCAGGATGCAGCAACAGCCCAGCTCTGATTATTTCTGCAGATGAATGATCATGTTCAACAAGAGCAATTAAAAGCACTTTCTATTTATATAATCGCCTATCGATGGTGAGGAAAGCCATTCACGACTGGCCAAGATCTGTATGTGTAATCTGTAAACTTAACAAAAGCTGTTGTAATAACTTTGGCAGATCACCCCCCACATATTTACATGTCAAATCGGGAGCTTGCCAGAAATACAAATATCTACATGCCATCAAGTTTTGAGCTTCGCTCCATCGGCTTTTTCAAATCCTTTTGGTTATTACGCAGCTCGGGTTAAAAGCAGGTACATCAAATTAACAGGGTATGATGTGAACTGTCTCCGCCCCTGGCGGATGGTTTGCCCCACAGAATAACGGATCAGAGGATTAGGTGCACAACTAGAATTCACATTTTCGATCAGCTCAAATCAAACCCGGCATCTGCGCTTATAGCATACATCAATTTTGATTCCAGTTGCTCCTTACTGCATCATACAAGGAAGCACTTTTAGAAGAAGAATACAACTAACAAACAGTTTATTTGCTTCTACAACGGAAAAAAAAATAGAGAGAGAGAGAAACAGCAAACCTTCTATATGGTGGAAGCTTTAGGAGATTCATACAAGTGGCTGCAGTCGGTAATCGGTCAAGAGCTCCTTCAGCTCCATTGCCACCAGCTCTAAGGAAAGAGCAGAAAGATTTAGTAAAACAAACTTTATCAGCCATTTCGCCAAGATGAAAAGAAAAGAAAAGAAAAAATCTAAAATGATATAAATCTTTCATGAACTCTTACCTCTGTATGCAAAATAATGGTTCCAAGTGTTTGAATCCAAGCAGAGGTCCTCGAGAGCACCCGGTCACAAATCTGGATGAAAAATAGTGTGGTCAGTATCTCTCCCGATGTTCATTAACTTGAAATCCAATTAAATACAGGAACTTGCAATAGCCAACATAAACATATGTTTGGGGGATTTTGTGATGGATACTAAAAACTCACTTCAGAAATTTCTTCTGATTTTCCAATGAAAAACTTTTCAGAACTTCCCAGAACATGTCAATGACATAATGCTCCTGTCAAAAAGAAATAGCAAGCAGTAAATCAGTTGCGTGAAAATGTAATGAAAAAGGTTGACAGCCAATGACTGGGTTCATCTAGAGCTACATTTATCCATGCAAACAGTAATTTTATATGTCCCACAAGAACACAAATAAGCCAAACAAATGTGAAGGAACTTACACTATGATAGCCACCCACATAGTTTGTGTGCATCCGTAGGTCATCGACATCCAAGCTGTCAAGTGAACCTGATATCAGAAGCTGTAAAAACAAAGCGGGTCAAAGGAAGAGGACAGTTATGCATAATTGCCTGTGACAGTGGACAATGCGTGCTAAGTGTATATTACAGATGCAGCCACTTCTCAAACAATGGAATGATAAACTTTCGCTTCCTAATAAAAAATTTCTTCAGGCTTTGACTAGGAGAAAAGGTCCAAAATCAGAATGGAACAACGTGGATCTTACTCTAGGTTAACTCTAAAGTTGCACCAAGCATACCACATACAACATCCTGCATTGCCATGGCGGTACTCTTGTACAGCAAAATGTGTACCAAAATATTCTCCTTTTAAAAAAAAAAGAACCATTTTAAGTTTCCAATACCGGAAAGCATAACAAAAAATAGCACACATGGTATGCCTTTGCAAAAACCTCACAGTAAGCATTTGTAGCATCACTGGCAACTCTTAAATGCAATAATGACATCAGAACTATATTTTCAAATTGGACAGAATGACTTAAGCTTGTTTTAGTTTATTGATCTTAGAGAACCGGCAAAGAAGAAGTGAGCATACTCAGGTGATTTTATGCAAACAAACCCTAAGCAACAAAGCCAAAGGGTATACGAATATACCTGAAGTTCATGCTCATTAAACATATCTATCCAATCTTTCGGTATAAGCTGCTGAAACCCCCTTAAGAAATGTGAACTTTGTTGACGTATCTGAAAATGATCATTTGTCATGTTCACATAAGGAAGCTACGTCATCATTTGGAACAAGGGTTCAAAATGGAAAGTTGCACTACCTGAAAGTTCAAACGATGGTTGGCAACAAGATGAATAAAGGTAATGACATTCTCATTAGTGACACGTAGGTTTTTTCCCCCGGGAAGCAGCTCCTCTTCTGTTTGCTCTCCATATTCATTATTTACAATGACAAAGTACAATTCTAATTCTGATATATCACCTTTATAACGCTGCAGATATAAATCACAAACAGGAAGGAGTGAGCTCTACATGCAACTAAACAGGAGTCACACTTTTATCTGAAGTGCAGATGAGACAGAGTTATTGAGTCAACTGCTTTCCATCAAGCATGATTATAGTATCCAATCCAATAATAGGTAGACCAAGAATAAATTTTCGTCGAAGCCGATGACTGGAGGGTGAAATTCAGTTGTGAAAAACAAAAATTTATAAACAGATACTGTGAAAATTGACATAACTGAATGCAAATTTGTAACTCATACCATTGGATTCCTAAAAGAAATATCCATTCCATAGGACAAATCTATTTCTAAATCCAACAGTACATTGTACAAATATAAAGATTATAAAGTATTTTTGTTTATAAATTGAATATTCGAGAACATTATCAATACCGAGGTTCCAATAAAGCTTGGTGCATTTATGAAATTCCATTTCCTCAACTACGTTAAAATCCATATCATCAATCAATGGAATGCTCGCTCATACAGCGAAAGAAGTTAGATGTGAATGTAATTAATTTCTTTAAACCGAGTATTCGCAACAAGATGTTGGGTTGTGTACTCTTTTCTTAGAATCGTGTCAACAAAAGAACGAGTAGTCAGTAAAAGCTACAATGTATCAGGAGGCATATTTAGAAAGAACAGGGTTACCTTCAAGAAAATAAGGTGACGGTACAACTCTGGGTCCAATGAAGGCAAATCATTTAAATAGTTGTACCTAATCAACAAAAAGAAAGAGATTTCTAGTATTAACATTGCAGCATGTTGCAAATGGTACATCAACAAGATTTTCTCAGAGAAAACGTGCACTTACTTTTGTTTTAATTTGCTCAGAAAAAACGTAGCAAATGGTATATCAACAAGAATCCCCTCGAACATGGCCTGTAAGGAGTCAAACATGTGATACCATGAAGAAGCACCATATGAACTAAAACAGTATACAAATTTTTTTATACCTTTGCAAGAAGAATCCCAAGAAAGTGAAAGAATCGGAGATGCTGTTCGTGAATCATTCCTGAACCAGGACTAGGGTAGAGTAAATGATCGGATGTTTCCTGGATTACCAAGCAAAGCAGGAGGAGGAAAACAAATAAGCAAAATCAGCATAATTGCCAACAGCATAATAAAGATCTAACACTTTCTCTTGTCTGATAATTGTGAGTCAGCTTCTACCAGAATTTCGAGACATATCTTCTTTTAATACTGGACGATGATTATCTTATTAGAAAGCATGATATGCAGTTCTAACCTCTGTTTCCACTTAATTTTCGGACGCATCACACTCACACGATGGCACACAGGATCACTTGACTTTCATCAAATGTTCTTGTAGTGATTGTTTCTGCTACATAGAGGTTTACTTGGACTGGAGGAGGGATTTAAATTTTGTCTTGAAAGTGGGGATAAATGTTCACTACCGCTGAAGCTATGAGCCCTCAGTTTCTATTGTTTGATGAATGTAACTTTGAAATGTGCAACTGCTATGTACTTTCTTTTGCATAATTCAGAGTCATAGCTTGTAACAAGTGCCTAATTTAACTGTGGATATATACTACAGGCTTTAGAAACATAGATTTTTTTTAGAAGAAACGATAACATTTATTAAAACAATAGCATGAATGAAAGAAAACTTTCTAACCTTAAACAATCCATACTGAACATCAAAGGCTGCCTGAGTAATGTTCTCCATAAAGTCTTTGAAAATCCCACCGCCATCAATTCCAGCCTCCTCAACCCCAAATTCATTTACAAACGTTACACGAATCTGCAAATAGACAGGTCAAGGTGGTAAGGCGGTTATTGTGGTATTGGATAAGAAGAGGAGAGGATAAGTGCTTGCAAAAAATAGGCGGACAATCACTTCTCCGAA